CCGGGGGCGGCGCTTCCCCCCGCAGCCCCGCGGCTGTGTCCGGTCCTGGCTGGGTGGACGGCAGCGGCCTCGGGCACCGCTGCTCGTGATCCCCGTGGCAGCGGAGACGTTTTTTCCGCTGCCCTCGAGGACTGCTGGCTGCGTGTGCTGCTGTGCCCATAAGGGCCTGGTGGCAGCTGCTGTTACAGCATTAGATCAATAACGTGCCCATTCCGATCGCCAGGTCATTCCTTCCAGCACACACTAGATCAGGGCTCTGTAGGACACGGTAGGGTGACTCTCTAGTCAATCCTAGAAACTAAACTAGTGAACACCTTGTCTTTGTGGTCTGTCTGGACCTGAGCTATTTTCCCATCCGTGCTAAGCAGGTATATAGGATAAGATGCAGTTATCCATCTGGGCCCCTCTTTTTCTGGGAATATGTAAACTCCATCCCAAGGGTTCAGGCCTGCACTTTCCAGGAGCACTGCCTCCTCATTAAGTAGGATGCTTTGTCACAGCCAAATCTCCTGAGCTGGTTGGTTGAAACAACAATTTTCCCTCCCAAGCAGGCAGATTACGTGTGTGGAGTAAACAGCTTTTTATTTTATTTTTTTCTCCTATCCAGGTGTCAAACTTCTGTTGAATGGGCTTTGCTCCAACACCACAGTCAAATCTTTGGATTTGAAGGTGAGTTAGAGTAAGCTTAAGAAAAAGGGAAGGGAATAGAAGCACAAACTTAATGTGAGTTAGAACAGAAATTTCTGCTGCAGTAGGCCTGTAGATTTCCAGTTCCCGAGTGTCTTGGTCCTTTTCTCCGATCTGCCATGTTAAAGCATGTTACAGCTCTCCCCAAATTGCCTGGTAACTGACCTGTCTCTGAATTTTTCTTGGCTCTCCTGTTTTGCTAGAGTGTTACTGCCGCATTACAGCTGAACAACGCTTGGTGCTGTTTGATGTACGAGCTGGATGGGACAGGGTATAACGCATTGATTACCCATCACCTTTCTTTCAGGGGAATAACCTGCGAATTGCAGGAGCGGAGGCTTTGGGAAAACTTCTTAGGCAGAATCAGTCCATCAGGAGGTAAAAAATTGCACCTACCTCTGTTATTTCTGTTAGATGAAGCCAACATTGGAAAGGGATGAGGGTCAGGAGAAATGTCAGGTGTGCCTTAGCAGTACCCTGCACTCTCGGTGTCTTGAATAGGTACCATGTCCTATATAGATATTATTCAGGCTCTTAAAACTGCCAGATTACAGAACAAATTTCAATCCTGTCTGATTTTTCCCTAGCTTAATCTTGGAATGGAACAGCCTGGGCGTGTGGGAGGAGGGCTTCTCCTTTTTCTGCCAGGGGCTGGCAGCAAACAGCTTTCTCCAGCGGCTAGATCTGCGCAACAACCAGATCAACCATCAAGGGGCAGGAGAGCTGGCCATGGCACTGAAACGAAATGCCAGCCTACAGGAGCTGGGTAAGAGTGACTAATTTTGTCCATCTGCAAACGCACACAAAAATGTACATATATGTTCAAGTTGACTGTAGCCTGTCTTGATCTCTGCAAGCTGCTTGGAGAACATTCCCATTTCCCATTTTGCAGACTTTGTGCAGGGAATAGAGGTCACAGCCCTATGGCCTTTGAGGGGAGGGAACTGCTACTGGCATCTCTGGAACCGAACCTGCAGATGAAGATTATGCTCTTGGAGCAGAACCATGCTTAGTGAAGGAGGGAATAGGTTGATTCCCATCATGAATCCTTTTGGCATGTCTCTGCCTGTCAGCCTCTGAGACTTACTTTACACTTGCTTTGTCCTTAAAGAGGAATTACTGGAGTTTTCTTGGGGAAAATGTGGCTCTTGGTGCTGGCTGTTTGTCATCCACAGGTTGTAATTTTAGTGCTTTGTGGAAGGAGAGCTCAGAGGGTGAAGGTGAGACACAAGACTTGCTCACCTGTCAGACTGGGACAGCTTCCTGCACATAAATACGCTTAAGACTCATCCATTCCCTTCCTGCCATGTCAGTCACCCCCCTCACCCCCGTTCATCTCAAAAGGGAACATAACATCCATTTGTGTTTGTGCTGAGCCCTTTGAGGATTAGTTAGCTGCACATGCAGATGTGTGTAGAGGATGATATCTGTATCTTCCAGTGGATGTCGAGTGACTACCAGGATGAAAATTTGCTTTCTGTGTAGATTTGCGCTGGAATAATATTGGGCTTTTGGGTGGCCGAGCTTTGTTGAACTGCCTGCACAGCAATAAGACCCTGAAGAAGCTGGAGCTGGCAGGGAACAATGTTCCCAGTGACATCCTGAAGGCTGTGGGTAAGCACTACTTGTTGCATGGGAAAGAATCAGTAACTCCTTTCACACTTCAGCACTCAAGAGATGTTGGGCATTTACTGCTTCAAAAGGGAGCCTTCCCTCTTCTGCTCTCTATTTCAACAGCACCTCCTCAGTGCTGCCCTGCATATCTTCCTCTTGCCTTGTAATGAGGGCTGCTTAGGTAGGAGATGCCACTTTTAGCAGCAGGAGGGAAAAATGTGAAAGGGCTGAGGACTCTAGTTTGCCTCTGAGTAGCCAGTGGTCAGCTTGTGTTTGGTTAATGTCCTTTGTCATCCTACTTACAGTGCAGCTGAGCTGTTTTCATGAAACTGGGGTGTTGATTACTCAATGCATGCTTGTTCTTTTTGGTTCCTTAAACGCCCTCAAAGTGAAAGTGGTCCCTGTATACAGGCCCGTTTCAAAGAAGCTGCCATCCTGGTGCTTCTGATAGCCAGATTTCATACTGTCCTATAGCAATTGTTGCTATTCTGTTGCTATAGAAGCATGTACATTATCTCCTGCTTTCTCTGCATCAGAACAAGCCTTGGATCACAACCAAGACCGTCAAACAATTCTCAGTGAGACCCACAGTAGAACCCGTGTGCTCAGCAACGAGGTTTTGAGTCTGAGGAATGAGAAGGCCAAGCAGGTCAGTAATCTCCTCATATGCTGGCAGTTGGAACAGCTGGAATCCTCTGCTATCTACTGGTGTCCTCACCAACCACTCTGTGATAGGACTGTTGGGCACCTGAATTTCAGTATGCATCTTTTAGAAGGCACTCAGCATTATTTAGTGTATTGGATCCTTTCTCTGAGCTAGGTTGTCCAAGAATCAAATCCATGACATATATTATGAAGACATGTCATACCAAGCATATTCATTCTGGATTCTGCATGAGTTTGGTGATTTTCTGCCTGCATTCATGCTTTCACTGCTTCTTTTGCAACTGTTCTGGTGTTTTTCAAGTGAAAAAGCTATAAATATGAGTTTGTTTTACTTCTGACACCTAATAGCATGGGGTCCCTGTGGCTGATGACCTTAATCAAACCGGGAGTGAACCTGTTTTGCCTCCAGTTTGGTTTCTTTTGCAGCAGTGTCTTTACCTGTTTTCAGTAGTCATTCAGAAGATAAAGATAAGAAATGTAAATTCAAGCATCAGCTTGAAGCTGATGCTGTTCATTTTCTCGCTGATGTTTGTCCTGTTCACAGTTCTTAGATTTGATGGACACCATAGACAAACAGAGAGAAGAAATAGCCAGGAGTAGCAGGTGAGTTGATTTTCTGGGCAACTTCTGCTCTTTGGTAGCAGGATTGGTCCCTTTCCATCTACTGGCAGAATATTAGAGTTTGGGTTTTTTTATTTTCTTCTTTTTTCTTTTTTTTTTCTTTTTTTTCACAAATGCAGGATGTCTACAGCACGAGTCAGCCAGCTGCAGGAAGCACTGGATGAGCAGCACTCTATTATGAATTCACTGAAAGCCAAGTATGGAACAATCTTTAGCCTTCTCACAGTTCTGTGCTGACATTGCTGAGCTGAGCTATTAAGAAAAGAAATAATCTTACAGAGTGTCTGACTTAGTGTTTCACTTAACTAAGTGCAGTAATTGTGCAGTAATGTCCAGAAATTGTGGTCAGATCAGGCCTTTGGCTTTTCCACAGTAAACATTTTGCCTGTTCTTCAGTAAAAAGAGTGCATTGGTGTAAGAGCATGTGAATGATAGAGTGAAGAGAGGAAAAGAATTGTGGGGTGGGCTGCAGGAACATTCCTTGTACAGTTTGGAACATGGAAAGAGTTAATTGTGTTCACCACCTTCACCCATTAGTTGGCAGTATCCTCTGAGGACCATTGCAGATATGAAGAAACCTGACCAGTGAGAAGGGTGAGCTGGAACTGCCCAAAAGTAGTGTTAGACTGTGTTGAGCCATGTGCGTATGGCAAGCCTGGTTAGTTCAATTCTGTCAACTCGAAGTAGGTTTTTTTGGTGCCATGCTTCAGTGTCATGTATTTATTCCTAGGTAGAGAGTATGAGAGAAGTGACAGCTATCAGTCATTCTGATAACTGTTTAAAATCCCATCCCTAATGTAAATAATTTGGAAGTGGTGTAACATAGCCCGCTTTGTTCTCTTGTGAGAATGGGCAAGTCCTTGAGGGTCCAGACATGAAAACAGCACTGGGAACACAGGCTGAGAGAGCAGAGCACCAAGCTCTGAAAAGTCCCAGGTCACTGTAGAGGCTGCTGGGTGAAAGGGTTATGAAATTCTTTTTCTCAGAGGCAAGAATACATCATTTAGCCTTGCTGATTTTCTCCATTGTCAAATGTGTGTTAATGTATTGTGCTCTGGAGAGCTTATTGGAAGTGTCCCTCTGGAAAAATCCTCTGGAAAGTGTGTCTCTGTGCAGGCTGCAGATGACTGAAGCTGCCTTGGCTCTGTCTGAGCAGAAGGTGCACAACTTGGGAGAGCTGCTCAGTGCCATGAAACAGGAGCAAACTAGCGTGGCTGAGCGCCACCTTAAGGAGCTCCAGCAGCAAAAGCAGGTGGGCTGGATAAGTCCTGGTTAGGTTTGAGAGTAGAGTTCCAAGTCATATCATGCCTGTGTTGTTGTTTTTTTGTTTTGTTTTGTTTTGGTGTATTTGGAGAATGCTGGGTGGGATAGGCAAGCATGATTTTTACTACTAGTGGTTTAACCATGGTTTACATGAAAAAAAATGTTTAAATTGGATAGGTGAGCGTTGGGTGCAGAGAGAAGCCATGGTGTTTGTGGCTTGGGTCAGAGTTGGATGCAGTAGTTTGGCAGTACAGGAACTCAGGTTAGTGAGTGACAGGTTTTTCTCAGTTTTGCTTCTGTTTGCAGGAAGGTGCTGATCGGGAAGGCAAGCTTTCCCGGGAATTGTCTGCTGTCAGTGAGAAGAACCTGCTTCTAAGAAACCAGGTAGGAAAGCAAGCCCATGGCTGAGAGGTGGAACTTGGGCACTAGTTGCCTCTGCTCTCAGTATGTCTTTCCTTTTGACCCCATTTGTGTCTTTGCTGATTGACAGCTAAGTTGGTCTGCTGATTTTGTCTTTTATGGTGGTAACTTCCTTGTAGGTGGATGAGTTGGAGAAGAAGTGCAAAGTCCAACAGGATCAGCTCTTTCAGGTAAAACAAGACTTGACCAACACAACAGCAGAGTTGAAGCTTCGGGCTGTGCAGGCTGAGGGTGAGTGGAGGAGCAGAGACAGCTCTTGGGTGCCTGTGGGGTGGGATCTATGAGTTCAAGGTGAGAGACAGACAAAGATGAAGGGTGGAAAGATTTGTGATCCAACATACCCTATGTATAGCCTGTGATGTAGGAAGATCAGTTGTGATCTGCCTGCCTTTAAACTGCAGAACGCTTAGAAGTGGAGAAGAGAAAATTTAAGCAAAGCCTTGAAGACATGGAATCCCTTCGGTTAAAAGAGGTAAGAATGGGGTTTCTGCATCCTCCTGAGGTTAGCGTCTTTTTTGGCCCTGAGATATAGAAACCTCCATTTATTCTCTGGAAGCCATTCTTTGCTGTCAGATGCTCTTAAAAAGTTTTAAAATTGGTAGACCTAGATTTAGTGAGGGAATAAAGTCCATTTTTACAAGGAGAGCCTAGCTGAAAAGATGACAAAATGTTCTGCCAGCTAGCAAGACTTGGTAGCTTGCAAGAGCATGGCCCAGAGCAGTCCCAGAGCCACAAAAGAGGCTTGTCCTAATGTCACTCCAGTGACAGCTGATTCTGTATTTATTGCAACTTCCTAGTGGACTTCTGTGGGAGAGGAAAGAGATTTTTTTTGGTAATAGCTGACTCAACAAGAGAATGCTCTTTCTTATGCTGAGTGGCCCTGTTATATTATGCCTGGAGATCACTGTTTTTCTGGCGTTTGCCTAAGTGCTTCCTGTGGTTTTGCAGGTGGATCGTATGACACAACATGTTGAGGCCAGCGAACGTGCTTTGCAAGAGAGGATCCAGAGGCTGGAGGCCATGAGGATAGCTCTGGAGGAGGTGGGAGTGGATGCTCCAGGTGCCCTGAAATGGTCAGGTAGCAGTGGCAGAATGAAACTGTCAGTATTTTAATAGGAAAACAATGTGCATTATTCTAATACTGACCAGTGGAAAGACTTTTGTGTGGTGTGGGGACAAACAGAAGACAGCAACTGGAACATTCAGTTTCTTGGATAAAACTTGGATTTGTAGATTCTGTTTGAGCAAAAATTAATTTTCCATTGACTGTAGTTAAACTCTTACCATGATTTGATTCTGCAGGTTTCCTGTGTGCTCCATGTGAGTTGCGTAGTATTTTTCTCCTTATCAGTTCCCCTAGCTACTAAATGCAGCGCTGCCCTTCCCAGTTCTGTGTCTTTGGAAAGCTTCACATTTTTCTCCTTATCTGTTCCCCTAGCTAAATGCAGCGCTGCCCTCCCCAGTTCTGTGTCTTTGGAAAGCTTCACATATTTCTTTCCTACCTGTAAATGAAACTTTACTGAGTTCAGTTGGTAGTCTCAAGGTGAGAAAAGATACAGAATTTGGGATTTGTCTCGCCTTGCCCCTGGCCCTGAGTGAGGAACAGCTGTGTCACTTTGTAGCCTGTGTTGGGAAGCTGCTGCTGTTTTGATAGTGACAACACACTGTCCGTGTTGCAGTGATGCAGCTTCACTATCTGGAATCTTTTTATGTGTTTTTTGGCAGGAGCTGAGCCAAGTCAGAGCAGCTGCGCTTACTGAGCGAGGCCAGGCAGAAGAGGAGTTAATAAAAGTGCGAAATCAGACACGGTTGGAGGAGGTAAAGAAGTACCATCTGTTGGCCCTGCTTTTATGGGAAGGAGTGGATTTGCCTGTCTGGCTTACACATTTGTCTCAGGGAACTGATGAGTACCTCCCACCTCTGGATTTCATGGTCCTGCAAATAGCATAATTTCTGAAGGAGGAAGCTCTGAAAAGCATGCTTTGAAAGGCCTGAATTGTCTCCAGAATCTGAACACTATCCTCACTTGCTTTGTGCTTTCCAGTAATAACAAAATTGATGCAGATACTGTTCTAGTAAGTTTCATTTAACTGCCAGCTTTGGAAGCTAGCAGTCAGGTGGATCCCTCTGTTTATCAGCGGCCTTCAGTGCCACTTTTCTGGACTCTGAAGCAGATTTCAAAAGATGGCTATTGCTGCTGGGTAGGAAATGTCACTGTAAGATTGAACTTCACAGAAATGGCAATAAAGTCCGCACCCTGGAAAAGAGAAAAGGGAATGAGGAAAAGACATCAAGAACCCTATTAGATTTTTTTTATCGTTCATAACATCACCAAAAAAGGGCATACAAGGCTGCAAATACATAAAAGCTGTCACTTGTCTGTGGTAGGACACAGCAGTTGCCTCTCTGCATACAGCAGTGTTTCGTGGCCATTCAGGATGGGGATGAAATGAAGCTGTGGCATCACTAGAGGTAGCATTGGTGCTTCTGCTGGGAAAAGTGCCTCTTTTTCAGTGAGTGATCTGGGCTTTGCAGCATCTCCCTCAGATTTTTTTTTTCCCTGTCAATAGAAAGCAGCTTAGATTCTCTCCTGAATGCAAGGGAGACATGCCAAATCTCTTAGGATGAAGACTTTGTTTGCTCTTGGCTGCCAGTTCACTGTACCAGGGCCACACCGTGCTGTTTGGGACAAGGAGAATTCTTTTGCAGGAATGGGACGGGACAGATCTCTTTTTTTCCTTTGTGTCTTACAGCAACAACGACTAGCGAAGTCTTTGGTTGCTCTTGGCTGCCAGTTTGCTGTACCAGGGCCACACCGTGCTGTTCGAGATAAGGAGAATTCTTTTGCAGGAATGGGATGGGACAGATCTCTTTTTTTTTCTTTGTGTCTTACAGCAACAACGACTAGAGCACCTACAAGAAAAGCTGCGGCTGATGACCGAGTCAAGGGATGAAGCTCAGAACTGTTACCTTAGACAAAAACAAGTGGTTGGTGAGGTCCAAGCAAAGGCCAACCAGTTGAGCCTGCATGCTGATGGGCTCAGAAGGCAGATAGAGGAACTTCAGCAGGTAATTTGGCCTGGAGCATAGAGATGCTTCTCACTAGAGCAACGCAAATTGCTGATGTTTGTTTATTCACGGGTTTGTGCTTGTGTGCCAGGATCTGAACATTAAGGAACAGGAGAAGGTGACAGAGGTGAACAAAGTAAAAGTGGAGCTACAGGAGCAGATTGGACACCTGCAGGCTGAACGAACAGCACAAGAAGGTCTTAGAGAGAAGATTGCCGCCCTGGAGAGACAGCTGAAAGGTGATGGATGTGTGGTGGTGGGTGGATGTCATCCTTTCATACTTACCAAATGGTAGTGCTGGGCACTCTACAGTGGGCCTGGGGCTGGCTTATGCTTGTAGTTAGTGGCAGCAGGGTTTCCTGCCTGTGCATACACCCATGAATTCATCCTGATACACTTGCAGGGATTCCAACTATAATGACTCTATGATTCTGTGAGAGCAAGACTCAGAATTTAACTGCACCAGTCTGTACAGCAAGTAATATATCTAGATTTCCTGCACAGTGGAGTGTAAAACATTGTGTTTGTACAAAACTTTTCTTGTTGTCTTATGCAGCTAAAGGCTACTTGTAATTCTCATGTTCTGTCACTCATCCTGATCCCATTGCCGTTGGCTCTGCTACAGCATGTTATTCCTGTTTGTTCCAGGAATACCCCAGATTCCTGTAGTAATGCTGTTCTTTTCTTCCAGCCCTGTCAAGTAATCACCGAGAGGCACTACTGGACAAAGAAGGTGAAATCTCTGTACTGCTGGAGAGGCTGAGAATGAGAGAGGCGGAGATTTCCAGGATAAGGGAAGAAGAGGCCCAGCGTGCAAGCTTCTTGCAGAATGCCATCATGGCTTATGTGCAGGGTTCCCCCTTAGCACCCCTCAGTGCTAGGAAATGAGACTATTGCCTAAAGCCATACATACAGGGTAAGCTCATTTTTAAGTGGGAGAGTTTTGTCCAAGTGTGGTGGCACGAAGGATTGCCAACTTAAGAAAATCTCCTCTTGCTCCTGTGAAATCTTGCTACTGACAGCATAAAGGACTCATGGAAGCAGCATCTGAAGCTGGGATTGAGGCAGGTGGGACTTCAGCATGTGGAGCCCTTCCGCTGCACTGCTACAGCATTTGGAACAGTTTCCATGGTCTTTTGTATGGTGCCAATCTCTCCGTTCACCTTATCATTACTGATGGTGCTGTGAGTTCCCTGCAGTATGGTCCTTCTGAAACACTTGGTTGGATGCCAGGGCTGCTCACAATGAAATACTGTAAATGATGGACAGAAGTGTTTCTTATAGCTCCCTGTAGATGGGAGCTGTTTACTTTGCTCTAAGTCAACATGGGGTCCAGAAACGCTGGCTTTCAGCCACCTGCACCTGCATTCCCAGTGTTAAAAATGCACACAGCCACTAACAAGGCTCGGGCAGGTTTGCCCCACTTTGGCTCTTCTGCTCTGCCTCTCTCTGCCTCTGGCGATAGCAGTAGCAGCAGAGGGGCACTCGCTGCACAAACAAATAGCTGTGCTGAGGGGGACTGTGCACGGGGTGTCTGTGTCCTTTGGGGACAGCTGGTTCTTGGCCATGACACAAGCCTTTACCACATAGCTGACATTAGAACAGGGTCAGTTTCTGTTCTTCATTGCTGTGAGCTGCAACCCATCCTTGTGGTCAGGCTTTTACTCCTCTTTGTGAAATGGTAAAACTGTCCTGCAGCTCCTCAGGAGCCTGGAGCTGTTCTGACCCAGCGCTGGGGTGGTGCTTGGCATAGCACAAAGGACAGGACCGAGCTTCCTCCTCCAGGCAGCAGCAGTCCAGCAAATGCTGTGGAAAAGAAGCGGGGAGGCAAGGGCTCTGAACCAGGGCCTGGAGAGCTGTCCCTGGAGAGCCGCATCTCTCTGGGGGGGGAAATGAACTTTTAGTGCATCTTTACAAGGCAACTGGCAAGCCCTGCTCAGCCCTGGTGAGGCCACATCTGGAGTATTGTGTCCAGTGTGCAAGAGGGATGTGGAGCTGCTGGAGAGAGTCCAGCGCAGGGCTACAAGGATGATCAGGGGCCTGGAACATCTGCCCTATGAGGAGAGGCTGAGGGAGCTGGGCCTGTTCAGCTGGAGAAGAGAAGGCTGAGAGGGGACCTGAGCCGTGTCTAGAAGTACCTCAAGGGAGGCAGTGAGGAGGATGGTGCTGGCCTCTTTTCACTGGTGGCCACCAACAGGACTAGAGGTAATGGCCACAAACTGAAGCATCAAAAGTTCCACATGAACTTAAGGAAAAATTTCTTAACAGTGAGGGTGCCAGAGCACTGGAACAGGCTGCCCAGAGAGGTTGTGGAGTCTCCTTCTCTGGAGATCTTC